TGTAGCCGACAGTTAACCGTGCTCTAATTAGCGTTCTGGTTCAAGACCAGCTGCCTCAAGGTCATCCACTGTCGCTGTCAGCGCTTTCAGACTCGCTGGCCTGCAAACACACACGTGCGTCCAGTTAGTGGTGATTGTCCGAACCCTACCTGAAAACGCTGATCCTCGGCCGATGCAAAACGAGGCTCTAGACATAACACGTCAACTGAACAGCAATTGAACCCACTCCAAAATCCTATCAAAGTAGCTGCTATTACTATCTCACCGTCTCTTAGGCCTTACTAGACGCATTCAACAGCAGTCCTGGCCATGCTCGTGGTCATCGCTACCTATGATAATAACTCAGGGTTCTGTACACAGTAAACCATTCATTCTCTGTGCCTCTTGTCTTTTCCCACAACCCGGAATTTGGAGTGACGATTATGATAGTTCGATCGTCGTATCCGATGATGCGGGCCATGTGCTTCACAGCGCAGTGATGCAACGACGGTTACTTGCGCGTGGAGTGGTTTTAAATGATAGTAAACTTGCGTTGTATCTACTGCACTCTCTAGTCCCTCACCCGCCTGAGCACGATGTCAAAAAAGTCAAGAAGACCTGAAGCGTGATCGGACGCAGGTGGCCAGGGCCGCCATAAAGGCCACGGGTGGTTTGTGCCCGGGTCTGCACTTACGCGTGGCATCAAAGCACCTCCGCATGTTCGGCATTTGTTATAGGAGGACAAACTGAATGACGCCTGCCTTGCCCTGATCTGCCCTCCCCCCTGCGTGGGTCCAGCACATCCACTTCACGGACCGTTTGGGGGGCAAGGGGGCCGCATTAGAAGAAATTGGCAAATGCAGAGAATCAGAAAAAAATCGACGAGAACAGAACATTTGACGTACATAGAGTCCACGCGATAACTTACGCGGTTTGCGAGAATGTACAGAACTCGACACTGCTGCGACCAAACATGAGATATCCTGCCTGAACAAAGGCGGCGAATACGATGGCAAACATGAGAGTGAAGCCGGCAAGATCGTAGATGGCGTAGCTCAGTGTTGCTGTCAACTGTCCCATGGTCTCACTGAAGCTGACGAACTTGAAAATCTGTTGATGAAAGTAATGTATGCGGGTCAGCTGCAGAAACATATGCGCGTGTATACACAGGCACACTTTATTATGGTAAAGATTAATCGTAAGGCTGCCTAATGGCAAAAGTCCCCCAGCCCAAGTTACTTACTGAATTATTAGTTAAAACCGAATGAATTGATTGCGGACACCATGAGCCGTAACTAAGAAAGGAATTAAAACTGCTTGTAATCGTTTTGCAGAACTTAAAATGTAGATGAAAAGGTTGCGTCAAGGACAAAAAGACTGAAAAGGAAGCCTATGGAGCATGAAAACAATTAGAAAATCTCCTATTGATTAACATAATCCACTTAGCTAGTAACATATCAATTATTAGTAGCTTTGCGGAACAAAATCG